TTTTAGAGTCAAATTCGGCTAATGCATAGTAATTATTTCTTTGATATGTATCATAATGCAAAGCTCTTTTCTTGATAAATTTGTATTAATGAATAAATTACATAACCATAAACTAATGTCTAGACAAGTTATGCACTTTTTGTTACTAAATGTTTGCTTCAACTGTAGATCTGAATTGAAGTTTTTGCATACGAAATTGATATTCGTGATTTTGAATTCAATAATTTACTATTTTTTTGCAATAACAAATGTTGATAATTGTAATAAAGCTATAATTACGAATAATTCGTTTTTTGGTAGACCTGATCCTGGTTGATCTAATTATTTTTCATGTTCCCATTGTAAATTATCTTGTCCTACATTTTTCATACTTGTAATAAAAGTTCTGATCATAGTTCATATAAGGCTAGTAATGCTTACACTAAGACCTGAAATTAAATTTCAATTGAGATGAGCTAATTTCACCTTTTCAAGCGTAGGAATAAGACCTAGCCAAAATTAGGATATATAGAACTTTGTTTAAGGGAATCAAGCGTTATCCCTTACTGTATTTTCATAAACTCATGATTAAGTCTATCATTTGAAATAAGAATGCACATAATATGTATTTATTGTAATTCTGGAAATGGAATTAGATTTGGAGGTGGGCACGATATTTATTTAGGTGGTGATTTTGCTGGTGATTATTCTCATTTAGGTCATTCATACTAATTTAATTAATACAAGAATCTAATGTTGATCCATATTTGTTTGGATGGATTAAACCAAAAATAAAAGATTATGATTTATGAATCATAATTTGTTTAAAATGACATATTTATCTCAAAATATTTCTAGATTAAATTTTGAATCTTCATGATATGAGCAAAATGATGTTATTTATTTTGTAAATAAAATGAATCGCATAATCTTTAAAGGCGCCATAAGGTTCTCCATTGAATTCTCCTGTTCTTTTTATCCTACAAGTCTAAGCTTTTTGACGCTTATGGAAGACAGAATTCTAGTACCTTAAACTTAATGCTGTAAATCAGGGTACTTTATAAAAATATATGCCAGATTCTGTCTTCATACTTAAATTCATGCAAACTAGCTTATTATACTTCTTATTTTCCTAACAATCCTTTTAGAGTCAAATTCGGCTAATGCATAGTAATTATTTCTTTGATATGTATCATAATGCAAAGCTCTTTTCTTGATAAATTTGTATTAATGAATAAATTACATAACCATAAACTAATGTCTAGACAAGTTATGCACTTTTTGTTACTAAATGTTTGCTTCAACTGTAGATCTGAATTGAAGTTTTTGCATACGAAATTGATATTCGTGATTTTGAATTCAATAATTTACTATTTTTTTGCAATAACAAATGTTGATAATTGTAATAAAGCTATAATTACGAATAATTCGTTTTTTGGTAGACCTGATCCTGGTTGATCTAATTATTTTTCATGTTCCCATTGTAAATTATCTTGTCCTACATTTTTCATACTTGTAATAAAAGTTCTGATCATAGTTCATATAAGGCTAGTAATGCTTACACTAAGACCTGAAATTAAATTTCAATTGAGATGAGCTAATTTCACCTTTTCAAGCGTAGGAATAAGACCTAGCCAAAATTAGGATATATAGATATTCATTTCAGTTAAAATGATTTATATGGAAGCAAAAGTTAAAACAGATTGGATTAAGGTTCCAATATAGGAAAATTAAAGGAGACCTTACTCTAAAGTTAATGTAAAATATTACATTTTAGATAATAATATTCAATTATTTATAAAATAGCTTTAATAATTCTTGTTTTCTTCATTTTTAAATTACTTTCAAGTTATCTTTATAAATCAAATATATTAATACTTCACCAGAATCATAAAATACTTATATCATCATTATTATTTTTGTTAAAGAATAATGATTAAATTTATAGACTCTTAAATCTCCCTTCCTCCAACTCTTCTAAGTAACTAGAGAGCTAATTCTACATTTTATACAGTATTAAGCCAATAAAAGCCCCAAAGTTACATAAATATTAATAGGTTTAATTATAGAGACACAATATATTCTATTTAGCTTTATAGGTGATCGAATAAAGAGGATAATTGATCTCAATCAACATCAAAGATTATCGAATTCATTTTCCAAAAGGGCGATTTACATATTTTTCTTATTTTAAGCTAAAGATCTACCTCATTGTTAAATTAATAAATAATAGTGATGTGTATTAATAGGAATTACAAATATCTAACATTTACTTAGGTTTTTAACAGTTTTTGCAGTCTATTAGAAATTTTATTGAATTCATATCAGATCTAATATAAATAGAAACAAGTCCCTGCTCTAAGAAATAATAATTTTTACTTAATTCCTTTCTAGATTTGTTCCAATTTTTGGCATTAAACCCAAACGTCACAACACCAAATTTGTTTAATTAAAACTTAACAAATTCAGAAGAAAATAATATATATTATAGTATTCGATTACAACATCCACTAATATATTTTTAAGATAATTAAGTAAATCATAATAGAACTCATTTCTAAGCAGGATCTCCTAAATGTAAATTACTGACAACATTATATTTAAGATTAAGATTGATATTGCATATGGACCTGGTATATTTCTATTAATATTCAAATTCATCTAAAATGTTTATATTTCGGAGGAGAGATAAATTGTAATATAATTAAATGAAATCATATTTTAAATAAATTTTATTTAATCTTTTCAAATTAATTTAAAAGATTAATCTTAAGAAGGAACTCCTACCATCCAATCAGGTTTTTTATAGAAATACTATTTTAATTACAAAACACTGGTTTTGAACTCTTCTCTTTTTATCCAATTAAATCCTCCATATTGATATAAAATTGTATAATTATTTAGCAACAATTCCAATAACATCAATTCTCTTCCTATTCTATATCCTAATTATTTTTATCTAATCATAAAGGAGATTATAGCAACTACTGATGCACTTTCTCACACTTGTCACTTCTCTGACTGTAGTCAGTTTAATGAATTTTTTTAACTCAGATTTATATCTTTACATTTAACTACCAGAGATTCATGGGTTAGAACTTGAACAGCTTACCAATCAACTCTATTTCAAATTTATAATCTTCTTTAAGAAATTAGAATATTTTTATTAATTTATGGAATTTAATCTCAAAATAGTATCATTTATTTACATTTTTAAAGGATTCTGATCAAATCATAATGAATAGACTAAATTTTTTGATTAGAATGGATTCGTCTTAAGTAAAACTCCTAGCACATAAATCTTAATCAATATAATAATGTTTCAAAAGAAAAAATTAATGTCTAATCTATGTTCACATATCTATTTTATTCAAAATATATAAATATTTATATAGTTTATATCGCTTAATAAGGTAAAAAAACTGAGTCATGCTATTGCTAATAATAAGCGTTTATAAGATTGATAAGGAAAAATGGAAATTTTTGAATCATTAATATATTATTTCATATGATGAATACTTTCCAGACTTATAATCGTGAAATACTAAATACTATCCATTATTTGTCATTGTCCCATAAATTTCTTAACTTTAACAATTTAAGGTTGAAACAATTTTAAATGTGCCATCATTAAATTCTCTTATCAAATAGATATGTTATTTATGTCTAGTCAATCTTACATTTCTATCTTTATTATGCATAATTGGAAAATAGGTTTTATCTTAAGATTCATAATTCCTAATAAAAGTGATAGTTTTGTTTTAATTATTTGAAAAGTCTCCATTCTATAATTCAAATACTAAAAGCTCATTAATGTAGTGGTTCATAGGTAACCAAAAAATTTATTAATCATTAATGAAATGGATTTTATATCCTGCAGCTGAGACATTTTGAGTATATTTAAAATCCCATTTTACCTTTAATCCTTTAATCCTTTTTCCCAAATTATAAATTTTCTGTACCCACTTGATGCCAATAGAGTTTCAGATTAATTAAAACTTAGTGAATAAACAGTGTTGGTATGTTTATCTAAGGAATATAGGAAAACCAACTCATTCTTTATAAAATCTACCAGCCAATCTATTATTTTAGTATCACTTCCTCCTGATATAAGTTAATCCTCTTATTTATTTAATATTAAACAATTAACAGCTTCATTATGTTATTAGTAAGGTTATGAAAACTTACACTCCTTTTAATTATTTATTGCCAACAGCCAGAAATAAAACTATTTTTCTTTGAGCTATACACCAAGCATGTAATAGCTTTTTAATGAGTTTCATAAGAATTTTATAAATTTAACTTTCCTTTCTCAAAATTCCATATTTTGATTTACTTAATACAACAGGAAATCATAATTAATCCACTCTTATCAAACGCAATATCATAGCATTATGAACTTTATTTAGTTGAATCATCAAATAATTTAAATTCAACTTATTTATCCATCAATTATTATTCATCGCTGTATTAAATTACTTTCTTCTCTGGCTAGCTAATAACCTTTTAGTTATTTTCAAATAAAATACGATCAGATTCTTTAATTTAAATTTGTTAAGATTCTATATTGCCTCCTTTCTCTTGATTAATCATATTCTATTTGGCATATTTTGATATTAAATTTTGTTCTTAAAGTTACATTTCATTCCACATAATTTTCTATATTCAAGGAGTCACGCTTTCGAAAGTTTGTTACTAGTATTTAAACCCAGAGATAGAAAATAAATCACATTAAGGTAATTCAAAATATAGCCCTGTTGAATGGTTGATGTTTTTGAATGGCATCAGAAGAAGTGAGTCAATTAAGTCCTCTATTCTAGCAAAAGCAGATTAAAAAATATAAATTGAGAAGTACATCTATTTGATACCCGACTTCTAATAAACTTTCTTCAATTTTAGACTACGTTTGCTGGATAATTGATGGTGATGATTATTGGATTTCTTACATTTTATAAGAACTTAAATTTATTTTTAATAATTGGAAAAAATCTTAATTTATTCTTTGAACAGAGTTTAAATAGGATTAATATTAAATACAAAATCGATGTATGATATTTTTGTTGAGCTTCTATAAAAGATTACTTGGTTTGACTATTATCAAAATTACTTTGTTTTTTACTAATAACATTAATAATATAAGTTCCATTTTTAGGCTTTCTTCACAGAATAGATAAATTGTCAGAATTTTTTTATGTATTTCAAAATCAGATCCCTTGCTATATTTAAATAATTGCATAATAAGTACATAAAAGAATAGCATGAAAGTAAACTCAAAGTTAATATTTTTTTTGATAAGAATCCTAATATCCTGTTATGAGATAGATACTAATAACTTTCATGAGACCAGAATTAGAGTAAGAATTTCTTAATATTTCCTTTCTCGCACTTAATATTTAATTATATTCCACTTGTTATTCAAAATGATGAATTCATAAACTACGTGATTATTTTAAGTTCAAGCATTTTTTATTTTTAACTTTTTATAATCTCAATCACTCTATAGTATCTTTAAAAACTTATTAAAATATCAAAATGGATTTTTTCCTTGCAAACAGACTCTATCTACTTTATCTTGACCATCATTTTCATAAACTCCCCTGACAATTCCATATTTATAAAGATAATTAGCTGACATTTTAAATGACTCTTACGAGTACTGATGAAATCAATGCTTCAACAACTGAAATAAAAATATATGTAGTTTATAATTTAGAATGCATTTGCTTTTAATTTTTCATCTTATAGTTATATAATAATTAATCAAATTTATAAGGTGGGTATTTTAAATGCTTGCACCAAATACCTTTATATCACTTAGTATTTTGACGAAAGGCAAGAGGATATACTTCGTGGATTCATGAGATATTTCAAATCCTTCATTAGCATTTCCAAATTTTCTTTTAGACACAGATTTTGTATAGGATAAAGAAATATCTGGTACTACTAAAGTATTAAACTAAATGCTGGCGTTACTCTTAGTATAAAACTGGACGCATAAGGGTTATAAAATTTTCAAATAAAAATATTTTTGGACATTCCATACTGAAATAGCAAAGCAATCACTAAAACATGGCATATCAAATCAGATGACCCAAGTATTAAGCATGCATGTATTTTGTATGTAAGCATAGTTGATGATACATGTAATTTCGCATACACTTTTGCCAAAATTCAGTATTTACGCAAATGGGATAAAAAACTCTATCAGATTTCCTACAGGATGAATAACTAATACAGAAATTGATGAAGCACATTTATTATCAGATATGTGCACAACCCTGATATATGGGCGATTACACTTGATGAAGAGATGTGTTGATCTTATACAAGGGTTAGTAATATCAGAACAAAAATTTTCACTTTTAGAATTTATAGAGTAATCATAAATGAGATTTTTTTTGAAAATATTTTACAATTGTGCTTTGCTTTGATTTATTAAAATGCTTAGGTGAAACTCAAGTATATTGCAGCATGAAATAACTCAATCAGCTTAAGTTTAATAGTTAGTAATTAGTTATTTTGGGGGAACTCAATTAGGAAACAAAGTATTTTAATAATAAATTGATAGACTTGTGATATGCTCAACATCAGATTCAGAATTATAATTATGGCCAAATACTTTGAATTACTCAGATCAACTCATTTAAGTATGATGATATGAATTCAAAAAGGTACAATTTAAGAAAAGGAAAATCAAACAGCGCAAGAAACATGCTTAGATAAAAGTGTGATGTTAAAATCAATTGTTACAAGTAGTAGTAAGAAAATTGACTCCAAGGGGAATGGAGATGTTATGTATTCATAAATCCACAAAAGAACCAACATTCCTCTTCCTGTAACCACTAAAAATAGTTCACAACATAACTCTCAAATAATTCAGCACTACTTTTAAGGATAGGCTATGCATTTTATATGATATGAGAGAGCTATAATTAAAATCCTCTTAATAATAAGAGTTGGATTTAATTAAAAATCTGCAACAAATTAAAGCCCCATAGAATATGTACAAAACAAGTGAATATTTTTTTGAAAGTATTAAATACACTAGTTAACCTAGTAGTTCAAAATTTTATGATATTATAAAACAGAATTATGAGTGTTCTTGAGTACCCTTTACAGAATGAATATGAACTTGATAAACAGTTGCGTCTACAAACACACTAAAATTAGGATTGATTTTACTCAACTTTAGAATCCACATGCATATCTTCTCAATATAATTATTTGGAGATTGAACTACAAGTATAATTGAACTTGCATCAGTCAGATATTAACCAAATGTTGAATAAATTAATCAATTCATTTTATAAGAAGAAAAAGGAGAATATGCTTGAAGAGCAAAATGATAACATATATTTGATCGAATTAGGAGCGAAATTAGAACCATTTTATAGCAATTTCTCGAAGTAATTCAGTAACTATACTTGATGCTTCTACGAGAAGAATGAAAGTTGAAAAGTCATTTAATAATTAACAGCTTTCTAAGCTAAACTTCTAATCATACTTAATGATGGCCTTAATTAACTGAACACTATTTTATAAGTATGCTTGGATCGTGCTACAGGGAGTTAAAGTTACGGATAATTTCAAGTAGACTCACATAATCGCGTCGTGTGCGTGTACATGTATAGGAAGAATATGAATATCCTAAACGAGGTGTCAATTTTACAGGTATATCAATTAAAAATGATGTTAAGTCGAAAAATTGCCTAAAGAATTGAGAAATAGACCTATCGAAATGAGAGAAGACAAAAACATAAATTGTGTTGCGCAATATTACAGAATAAGAGTCTCATCATTTAATGTGCAATAATCACATGGAGGAATTGAAAAATTTATGACATATATATGCCCGACGATTGTGTATTTTAAAACAATATTTTAGATGTAACAATAATGTGGAAATGGTGTATTACTAAAGACTATCTACTCATGCAAAATGGATTAGCCAAGTTTGCCACACTTAGTGATCATAACAATATTAATTTATATCATTCTGATTATTATGTGTGCCCCCTTGGATTTTATAATAATAGAATTGCAAAATGATCTTGATACTAATGACTCATATCCAGTATAACTGACTGTAATGTTTATAAATCAGGGACTGAATAACCGATTATTATTGTTTCTTTGTTGATGCTAAGAATTAATATTTGATACATATACTGCAGATATTTTACTTCTAATGATATCTCTTTCTTCAGAAATATTCCTATTTTCCTTGTTCATCAAGCCTGTTAATCACCACTACAACAAATGTTGTGCTATCTTTACTTCTGTCACTATGGGATAGTAGATCCTATGATCTTACCATAGTCAATCAGATGTTATAATAAGACTTCTCTGGTATGCCAAACAGTTAATTGAACAAACTCTTTAATTAAGGCTCGATATTGTATTCCATTAATAACTGTTTAAGATAATATACTTTATTTTCTTATTAGGATGTCACAAAAGTTTTTTGGTCAGAGATCTAATGTTAGAAATAAGATAATTAAGGAGCTTTGTAATCCTGTTTGGAGACTTTTTAAATTATTTTCTTGGCATCTTAAACCATATTTCCAATATATTATCTTTTTTTTTTTAGTTCTGAGTTTTATTATTGGATTGATTGTTACAATGAATTTTTTGGTCTTCAAACATTAAATTCTTTATATAATTCGAAAAGTTATTACATTAGATCATGATATTGCTAGGAAAGGTGTCTACGATTAATTTTCCGTCTAGTCTTATTAGTAACTTACTATTTTTTAACTATTATTAGATTATCAAGTTCAGAACAATGAGAATTAAATTAACCTGTAGAAAATAAGTTCTTATTTTATATGAAGAAAAAAAAGAATAAATTCTGAAATGATAAGAGGAGTAAAATAATAGCGCAAATTTTTTCATGTATAATCAACAGAGCTGAGATAACTGGAAATAAATTCTCATTTTAAATGTTGCTAATATTAATTAATATGATGTAAATTATAACTTCAATACCTTTTTGTAATGCTATATGGATAAAACTGCACATTAGTTTAAGGAGAAATGCTCAAACTTTGAGGTAACTAGGAAAATTCAATTATAAAATGAATATTCTATCTAAAATAAANGTGTACATGTATAGGAAGAATATGAATATCCTAAACGAGGTGTCAATTTTACAGGTATATCAATTAAAAATGATGTTAAGTCGAAAAATTGCCTAAAGAATTGAGAAATAGACCTATCGAAATGAGAGAAGACAAAAACATAAATTGTGTTGCGCAATATTACAGAATAAGAGTCTCATCATTTAATGTGCAATAATCACATGGAGGAATTGAAAAATTTATGACATATATATGCCCGACGATTGTGTATTTTAAAACAATATTTTAGATGTAACAATAATGTGGAAATGGTGTATTACTAAAGACTATCTACTCATGCAAAATGGATTAGCCAAGTTTGCCACACTTAGTGATCATAACAATATTAATTTATATCATTCTGATTATTATGTGTGCCCCCTTGGATTTTATAATAATAGAATTGCAAAATGATCTTGATACTAATGACTCATATCCAGTATAACTGACTGTAATGTTTATAAATCAGGGACTGAATAACCGATTATTATTGTTTCTTTGTTGATGCTAAGAATTAATATTTGATACATATACTGCAGATATTTTACTTCTAATGATATCTCTTTCTTCAGAAATATTCCTATTTTCCTTGTTCATCAAGCCTGTTAATCACCACTACAACAAATGTTGTGCTATCTTTACTTCTGTCACTATGGGATAGTAGATCCTATGATCTTACCATAGTCAATCAGATGTTATAATAAGACTTCTCTGGTATGCCAAACAGTTAATTGAACAAACTCTTTAATTAAGGCTCGATATTGTATTCCATTAATAACTGTTTAAGATAATATACTTTATTTTCTTATTAGGATGTCACAAAAGTTTTTTGGTCAGAGATCTAATGTTAGAAATAAGATAATTAAGGAGCTTTGTAATCCTGTTTGGAGACTTTTTAAATTATTTTCTTGGCATCTTAAACCATATTTCCAATATATTATCTTTTTTTTTTTAGTTCTGAGTTTTATTATTGGATTGATTGTTACAATGAATTTTTTGGTCTTCAAACATTAAATTCTTTATATAATTCGAAAAGTTATTACATTAGATCATGATATTGCTAGGAAAGGTGTCTACGATTAATTTTCCGTCTAGTCTTATTAGTAACTTACTATTTTTTAACTATTATTAGATTATCAAGTTCAGAACAATGAGAATTAAATTAACCTGTAGAAAATAAGTTCTTATTTTATATGAAGAAAAAAAAGAATAAATTCTGAAATGATAAGAGGAGTAAAATAATAGCGCAAATTTTTTCATGTATAATCAACAGAGCTGAGATAACTGGAAATAAATTCTCATTTTAAATGTTGCTAATATTAATTAATATGATGTAAATTATAACTTCAATACCTTTTTGTAATGCTATATGGATAAAACTGCACATTAGTTTAAGGAGAAATGCTCAAACTTTGAGGTAACTAGGAAAATTCAATTATAAAATGAATATTCTATCTAAAATAAAATCTTACTCAAATTTTCCCCTTTTGTAAAATTTATATGCAATTGTTTTTCCCAAAATCATCAAATGCTTCAATACTTATTAAATTTGATATTATTTCGAATTAAGGCTAGGAAACTGATTAATTTTTTATATCATTAGATTAATAAATAACTCATTATTCCTAATATTTCCTAATTTGATAATCTTTTGTCCTATCATCCCAAGCTATCAAATAATCTCCATCAGTAGTCATGTATCAAAGAAAAAAATATTAGTTCCAACCTCAATAGATTACTCAATTATAAGGACACCTTTTTATTTTTTCCTTATTAAATTCATATTTTGGCCAAACTTAGTTAAATGAATTCATTTTGATTTTATATATTATTAAGGATAAAGCCATAATCCAAATCACCTTCTACAGGAATATCCTTTGTCTTCAAATACTAATTATTGGAACTTTTCATCTCAAAAATATCCATGTAATTTTTCCAAAAAGGTTAGTATGTGAATCGATAATTATCAATAAAGTTCAATCTATGACCTTTCAACTTTTTGATAAGAATTAAGTATAAGAGCTTCCCCATCTTGTGATTCTTAATGTGGAAAAAATTAATATACAGCTTGATACTCACTCTAGATCTGATTGAAAACTTAATTATCTATTTCCTTAATGGAGAATACTGAAATATTTGAAATTTAGCTTTCTCAACATTCTGTCTTGTTTGATCATTTTAGCTGGTTGTTTTTTGGATATAAAGTATTCCCTTACATGTATTTACTTGGAACTCCGTTTATTATGTGTCTTGATTCTGCTGTTGTTCTAAATCTTCTAAATCTTCCAACTTGTTCTTCTTATTCAACTTTCTTTTCAAACTATCTATGTCGACTTTTTTTTAGACTATCCATAATTTTAATTTTGTTCTGAATCAGAGGTAATTGGTAGTTGCCATAGATCAAAGTTGGTATTAAGAAAGATCGATAAAATTGATCTCTCATGATACTGCAATATTTCTTATTTATTATAGTTAAGTCCACTTTTAAAAATTTTTCCCTTAACTTTCAAATAACCTTAAGAATTTAACGATTTTAAATTAGTAAAAATATCAAGTTTCATAAACAAATTTTTCCTTTAAGGATATTTTGATATTTAAATATATCCTTTCTCTGATTGAACATCTAATTTACTAAATTGTTTATTCTCTTGTATCTCAAACTTATTCTAAGAATTTGTCTCATTGATATTTATAAGAGAATAATTCAATAATAGATTTATTAATTATCGATAAAATAACTTGAATTTCTTCTTTTAAATTAAACCATTTTTATTTTAATTTGTAATCAATTTTTATCAGGATCCGTTCTCCACGGAATTCTCAAGTGTTCCTAAACTGGAAGGGGACCCCAGCTATTGCCATCCCAGGGAACTCTGAAAACTCTTCAAACATGGCCAGAAGGGATATGAAGCCTAGGGAACTTGAGACAAAGAATGAGATGAAGGACCACCTCCTTACTTTCTGTTCTGACCCTATTGCTGGTTCGGGGCTTTAACTTAGTATCTTATAGAGATCCTTGTTACATATTATCTCTAGTGCTATCTAAGCCTCCGGAACAGGTACTAATTCCAGAACTTTCTACTAAAATCATCGATTAATAACATAAATCTCGATGACGCACTAAGGAGTATCACATTACAATTGCAAATTAATTTAAAATATATAGTGCAGTTCCTAAAGAACTCCACTGGGATCTAGAGTTAGACACCCTCTAAACCTCCCAGCATTATTAACCCCAGGTGTCTCGATATTAACTACAATCTGATTTTGATAATTAGTTGTGTTAAATAAAAATAA